TCAAGCCAAGATTCAGAGTGTTTTCCCATATTTTTATGCCTCTAAAGACTTACTTTCTATGTTCAAATGCTTTTAGAGACTGAGATTGTAATGCATCCCACCACAAAACAGCTATCCTTCCATAACTGATGTTTTATTCTTCTTGGTCTAAATTAACATCCAATCAGGAGAAGTTGCTGTGTGAGCTGTTTTACAATCTAAATCAGTTCTCTTTCAAGATCGAGATCATAGACTGAGTACAATGTTAAAAATGTTGTTAATGTTCGAATTCTTACACTGACTTTGAAAAAAAAAGAAGTTAAATCCCGGAAAATATAGGCCTATACAATTTGCAGTAAACGAACTAGCTGTTCTGGGAAATGTTTACTCCCCCAATTGTGTGTGTGTGTGTGTGTGTGTGTGTGTGTGTGTGTGTTTGAATGTGTGTGTTTATCCACAACCTTACCTGGGGGATGTCCTCCATGTGGCCTTGAGGGCAGGTGAGACTGTAGTTGCCATGACTGCTGTAGAGAGTGAAGGTGAGGTTTGGAGAGGTTACAGGGACTCCACAGCGAAACACTGCAGGTTCTCCCAGAGCCACTCTGACGTCAGCTGGACGTGTGCGGTACTCCAGCCCGGCGGGGTTCGGTGCTGAAGTGGTGGTGGGGCTACTGGTTGTGCTTAGAGCTGAAACAGTGGTCAGGTGTTGATTATGAAACAGAAATGAACAGATAAAATCAACAGAAACACCACAGAACATACTCAGAGATCATACAAGATAAGGGAAGCAGACACACTGCACACAATATAACAATGTTATAGATCAGATCTTTGTGAGTTAAGTTTTCTAAGACCAAATAAAGCACCTGTGAGGATTTATCAGGTTGTGTGGATTTTGGCGCCCCCTGTGGACAAAGTGAGAAGATTCCTTTTGTCTTTGCTGATCTTGCCTTGTCCTTCCTCTAGACCTAACATGTGTAGGTTGTGCTTTATGTAAAATAAATCTCAACCTGCTTTATTTTTAATGCCTAATGCACAACTCACACTTATTCTCTAGCTAGGAAAAAATGTATAAAAGGTGTTTTCAGCAGCATGCTGTCACTCCCTTTATTTGACACTTACTTTTTTTATAGAAATAATGAATTTTCTCTCTGAGTGTCTGGTTTGTTTTTGTATTTCACCTCATGGCATAAATAAGAATTTCAGCCTGTTGTGTTACCAGCAAAAAAAGAAAACCTCCTCACAACAGCTTTAAAAGATCCAGATGGCCTTGTTGTTTATCAGAAACACATGTGCAAACACAAACGCACTCTCTTCCCTGTAATTTGAATATGCTAGGGAAGGAAACTTCCATGGCAGGGGTGAAAGATTTCCATGGCAGGGTTGGAACATTCTTGATGCAAACATTTGTTGATTAAAATTTCACTAAAAATCGAACAAAACCGAAGATCTATGTCTTTCCGCACACAGAAATTCCTGCTTTGACTTCTTCTTTCAGGTTATTTCTGGCTGTTCTAAGAATGTGTTGATGATAATGTCAGTAAGGTGTGGAAGCCTACACCTCACTCGTATAAGTCTTTTATGCTAAATAGTTGTTATTTACCGGAGGAGGGTGTGGAGATCTGGAGCAGAGCCAACAGCAGCAACACCAGACGATTCACCTTCATCATCTCTACTCTCCTCCTCTTCTCCATCTTTTTCTCCACTCAGTGTCTTTTAGCACATCAATGCAATTGTTTAGAAGATGTAACTTAAACTTTGATACAACAATAAAGAAAATACATCGCATCATGAAATGTAATTTTTCTACATAGACATCATTGTCAGTGAATGTTGTTGAATGAGAAAGAGAGGTGCAGAAGATGGATTCCTGAGGGCAGATAACAAGTTAAATATAATGTCACACCTTAATTTAGATACAATGATTCACTGCCTCATACAAAAGAGCTGAGAGTATTTTTGGATACTTCAAACAGGTTTTTTTTTGTGAAGATGACGGTGAGAAAGAATCATTGTAGTCTATTTAAAATATGTAGAATATATCTGCAGTGTGAGCAGTAAAATACATCCAAAAAGGAAAATCTTAAAAGTCTTTCATGACTTTTAAAAACTATTACTTATTCAAGACCTTGTTCTCATAACTTAGTAAACACAAGAGCTGTCTTTTGTGGATGGACAAAAGTAAATAAAAAAGTATTTGAATTTCACCCTTTCAAACGAGATATAAACAACAATATTCACAAAAGAAGATCAGCAAAACCAAATCAGTATTGACATGGTTTCTCTTCAGTTGCATTGCCACAAAGGTCAACATTGCGGCTACTTATAGTTACGACTACGAGTACTATTTCCATTTGCAGAGCTGACATGCTTCCAAATAATCTGCTACCTTCTTATAGAAATTTTTTAATTGTTAACTGAGATTTTAATCAATTCTTACTATTTTTCAAATCAGTGCTGTAATCCTGTCATCTACAATATGACTTCTTTATCCCTAAATCTAATTTATTTCTCATATGATATATGATATATGGAGTTGATGGAAAATTGTACCATGAATCATAAAGAAACTCTGAGAAACTTAAAGTGAAAAACACTGACCGCAAAATGAACTAGAAAATCCCCAGCAGGTTAGCAGGAAGCTTCCTTATTTGTAGATTGTGATGATTCTCCTTTTAAAGTAAAAAAAAAATAAAAATCATCTCCTTAGATGCCTCATTAAACTATTATTCCGATACAGATCAGAGTCTATATTATCTCCTGACAGTGCGACTCTCTCTCCAGCCCTCTCGGCCTGTCTGTCTCACTCCATCCTCCCGCTCTAACCAGGAACGATGTTAATAACAACAAGGCCTCTGAAGGAATGTGGCTATTCTCTTGATGCATGGGATGGATTTCTGCAAATGCAAAAAGAAACAGGTTGAGCAGGACGGGCCCAAGCCAATGGTAGCTGCTGGGAGTAACATCAGTCGGCCTTCTTGAAGCCTCATTTACTTTAATCTCAGGTAGCTTGTGCACACACAAGCTACCTGTTATCCCTCCATCCCTATGCCACACTCCAACCCCCCCCCCACTTTCCTTTAGTATTGTCTTACAGAATGAGCTTTAAATACTTGCAAAACAAAATTTTACTTTCAAATACGCGTTCTTTCTTTCTTGAAGGGCACAGCTTGGCTCTCACCACTGCTTGAAAGCAAGAGAGCAGTGACGTCAGTAAAGCTTCATTAATGTAAAACCTTTAAAAACACACATGAAGTGGTCCAAACACACATAAATGAACGAATACACAAATTATTTAAAAAAACAACAACACAAAAGGTTAAAGGGATACTTCACCCATTTGCATTAATCTTTGTATCATTAAAAACCTGGTAGTATTTTCGAATGGTTGTGCATCCCGCCCTCATTTTCCCCTGAGATGGGAAATCTTTGTATTTTTTAGTCTGACAAGGAGCTTCCAGTGACGCAATAATCATCATTTTGCATCATCAGAGGCTGTTGAGGTTAGCAGGGTGAAACTACAACGCTAGTTCCTCATATTTTCCACCACTGAAGCTACAGATCTATCACAGATCAATGGGTGGGAACTCACTCCCAGAATCAAACTTAATGTCCACCATATTGCTTGGAAGCTATGCTAGCAGGCTCAATGGAGAAAGCTGATAAGAACCGACAATGGCGAAAAAAATATCTTTCAACTTCAAACTGATATGGATGAATGGGATTTTGAAGGTCTTGTGCTCGAATCGGGTGTTCGTGGCTATCGCAATGAACCGCAATATAGCAGCAAGGCAGCTGCAGCTGAGCCGGCGGTAATGAGGATGAGGAGTCGGGGCCGGCTCGAGCTGGGGCGGACTGGTAGTTTCGGTGCTCTCACTGTTTGCTATGGACACAGACGTAGAGTCTGTTTTCTGACAGGAATTTCCAAGATGCTAATTCCTTCTGGAAGAAATCTCGGAATCAGTTGAGGAAACGGCCTTATGTGTTGTAGTAAACGTCTGTTGAGGACCTTATTGGGAGTGGCCTGCGGTGCTGTGCATTCTGGGAGTTGGTGCCTTTTCTCAGTCAAGAAGGCACCAACTTCAAAATTTATTTGACATTTCTACTACATATATGACCCAATATCAATACAGATTCATGTTTCAATGGGTGAAGTATCCCTTTAATTAGAGAGAGTCAAAACCAAAATCAAACACAATATGAGACATACTGTAAACTAACCTTTTCTTGTTTGAATGCCAGCTCCAAAAATGGCGCTGTCGAAAGTTATTATTTATTCTACATAGTCGAAGAGAAAGATTACTTGTAGTAAATGTTTCCCTTAATAAACCGTGAAATCTGCAGCTAAACAAGCTAAATGCTAACACCTGCTTGTTACAACATGAAAGATGGCATGATGATGTAAAGCAGGTTTGTTTACGCACTAGTTTTGGTGAAGCCCGTTACCATGCTAACTTTGGCTTGCTAACAAAAACGTGATACAGAAAATGTTTTGAAGGAATTTTGTAGAATAGATGAAACGTCAGTGAATCAATGTCTATAAACTTTCTTCTGGGGATTGGGAAAATCTTTAGGCTAGCTGATTTCCTGTTGAGAGACATTTATCTATCACCACGTATAGTATCCACCAAATATCTGGAATATCAGGATACTTTGACTGATTGGTTAGTGCAGCTAAACGTTCATCATCTAAAAGTCCTGACTGTTTGTAACTCTCAGTCTGGATCAAACACTGACATGATGAACGTCTCATGACTAAGTGCTCTTTTTGAGTGCAAAGCTGTTCTCCTTTATCCAATGATTAAAAACACTGCAAGGCCCTGGAGATCATTGTGTTTTAGCAATTGCCTTAAAAAAGAAACGTTTGCTAAATTAAGGAAGTAAAAAACAGAAAACAGAAAACATGTGCTAAATGAACTGAAGCAAGAAGTGTCAACCACAAGTTCTCCATTTACTGACACGTATTATTACACATATTCAAACGATCCGGAGAAACAGAAAACTCCTCCTATCATATGGTTATGATGTATTGCAGTTTACAGAGCGTTGTGCTCAGGAATAAGAACCTTATTTTTGATCAGCTTGAGACTGTCTTATGTCACGCCCACTTATGAAAGATAAAAACAAATCACAGCCTTTTGCTTTTTGTTACTGATTTGAAGAAGATGATCGCTTTCCTGGTGCTTTCATTTCTCGGAGCAGGTAAGCAGTTACTTTTTAATACTAGATGAAAGATTTATTAACTTTATCTAGGTTGTTGCATTGTTTTTAAAGTGTTTCCATCCATTTGGACTGTTTCCATCCATCACATGCTCTTTCAATAAAACAATAGATCAACTTGTGAATGGAGATTTTATCTATGGAGCTCTCTGTGTGTAGGATGAACCAGGCAGGCCAGGTTAAGATTGAAAAAAGACTGAAAGTGATCAAGGATTCAAAGTTTACTTGTATATTAGCAGGGACACGTTGTTATCTTATATTATGTTGTTAATTTAGTCACAATTTATGGATTTATGTCATGATGTACACCAACAACTTTTGTCTAAAAGAAATTGAAAAGTTGATCACAAAAGAATATTTGCCACATCCCCTTGAAAAGTGTTAAAATTACAATTTTTTGGAAAATATATATTGTGTTTTGTGTTTTTTTTTCAGCAAGCAAGGGGCAAAAAACCCTATTATTTAGTTATAACATATGCAACACAACAGTTTAAACTGAGTTTGTTGTGTTGTGTTGTTTTTATTTTATCTTGGAAGGAAGAGCCCATGATTTCATCATAATCCCTTTCATTTAAAACAATTCACACCCTTTAAAGTTTTCAAGTCACTTCTAAAGATTGTTGTTTATATATAATTTTGCTTGTTTTTCCTGCAAAGGTTAATTAAATGTTAAACACAATGCATGACATCTTTCTGATCTCTGTGCAGGAACTGTGGGTGCTGATAGGGCTGTGACTTTCGAAAACCCAAATCCATGTGCTGTGGAGGGGTCATCTGTGGAGTTCAGGTGCTTGTACAACTACCAAAATGGACAAACTGTTAGAAAGACTGAGTGGTACAAAGGGGAATTTAAAAATGACGTCTGGATACGTGTGAAGCTCTCAGACCTTGCTTCATATCGAAATCGCTTTGAATTCATTGGTGACCAGCAACACGACTGTAGCCTGGCACTCCATGACCTGCAGCATAGTGACACTGGGTATTACTACTTCAGGTTTGACACTGACAGGTTTGGGTGGCGCAGTAAGACTTCAGTGTATCTCTCTGTCACAGGTACATTTATTCTACAATGAGCTTTATTCTACACTTTACAGTAGATATATTTAACTTTTCTTAATATGATGTTCTCTGTTTTTTTAAAACTTGGGATATCAAGAGCTGCATGTCAGACTGTACCCTGACACTGTGAGAGCAGGAGACAGCGTGAGTCTTCAATGTAATACATCCTGCCATCTTAGCAGCACAGTTTGGTTCAAAGATGGACACCCAGTATCCAAACCAGAGTTCCAGGCTCAGGCAGAGGATGCTGGGAATTATTTTTGTGCGGTTGAAGGGCAGGAGTCAGTGCAATCGGAACCTGTAGCTCTAGATGTTCAGTGTAAGTATATTCACCACTGAATCATTGGTTGAATTATTGTGTGATGTATGGAAGTATGGAATAGTTCAATATTTTAGACATAAATGTTAGGGTAAATATGACTACAAAGGTGCAATACAAGTGTAGTCCATTTAGTACTGTGTATAATGATCCAGAATTAGATGTGAAAAAAATATGGCCTACAACTTCCATGTTCATTTATTAGATAATAAACTAAATCCAGCAGCTAGTTAGCTTGGCCTTGCAAAAAGACATAAACAGGGATGTACAGCTAGCCTGTGTCTAGTAGTTAGCTACAACCAAGGGGGACATGAGAAGACATTAAAACACAATGTCCATCTTTACATGCAGTTGATGCTCTCTACAAATGAAGCCAAAATATCCCCCACAACATGTGCGGACATATTGCACTTGTTACATGATTTTGTTAAGCTAGTTAAGCTGTTGACTAAGCTGTGGTTTTGTTCTCCTGCCCCTTTCAAAACACAGATTTAACTTATAAGGACCCTCACAGTTAATGTTTGTCATGTCTCCTCTCTGTTCCTTTATTCTTTTTTATGATCAAATAACTTATTCAAACTTAAATTCTAAAAGTAATGCACACTTGGAAATAAATCAGCGCAATTGGAATCATCATTTTCTATTCTGATTTTCTAGTTTGATCCATGTCCCACCTGTTAACATGAAGGAGGCAGAGTTCATGACCTATACTGCAGCCAGTCAGGATGGGGAGCTAGATGTTTTGGCCTCACTTTTAAGAAGATGTTGCGTTCATTTCTTTTATACAGTCTATGAGTTGTACAGTCCTTAAGTGAGTGTATCAAACAATGTTTATTTTACAGATCCTCCTCTGAATGTGTCTGTCAAGGTGACTTATCCTGACAACCTAAATGAGAGCAGCAGTGTGAATCTGACCTGCAGCAGCTCTGCTAACCCTGCAGCACAAAACTACACCTGGTTCAGGAGGACAGCTTCTCCCAGCTCCGGCTCGAGCTCCATCTTCCAGGTGGGCTCAGGACAGGTGTTGTCTCTCCCCTCTATGGAGGTGAACCACACTGGACTCTACCTCTGCCAGGCCAGGAACACAGTGGGGGAAACCAACTCAACTGAGGTGCTGCTGACCATAAGTGCCAAAAATTATGGTTTGTTTCACTTAGGAGTCACAAGAAATCACACAGAGATAACTAAAGGTCAAGATCTCCATTTTCAATAATCAACTATAACTCTTACTAAGTTTATTTTATCAAAACAATCTAACATATGGCTGAACTTTTCATGCAGAGCTTTGGAGTTCTTTCTCATTAAGCCAAGTCATCCTCCTGATTGGAGTCAAAGTAGTAATTTTGCTTCTTCTTACACTGGTTATCATCTGGGCTGGGTAAGTTCAGATATGAATAAAATGTTCTTAACTTGTGACTCTCAGATATTGCTGTTTTTATTTATAAACCTCTTCTCGTTTCATTTTAAAGGAGACATATACGTATCAAAAATGAAGAGGTGAGAGAAACCCCAGCCCTATTTAAATGAATTATGACCAGTGTTTTTGTGTGAAATTGTCTAATTTGCCCTATTACATTTCAGGAGAACGACCACGACTATGAAAATGAAAGCACTGGAGTATAATGGATTACAAAGAGAAGCCTGGCCTGCAGGAAATGTCTGTTTAAGCATCTCAGAGATGAGTGATGGTATTTAAATGACACGCTGCCATGCAACTTGGCATAAGTCTGTGACTTGTGTTGTGGATGGAGAGCGACTACAAGAACTGGAGGAACAGCTCAGGAGCAGGTTATTCTTCTTTATTTCCTGTCTGTGACACATGAAGAGACATGTAAGAGTATCAAATGTTATCAATAAGACATCATTGCTGTTCCTTTCATCAAAGAAAGACCTTTTCGGAGAAGCACAGTGAATTTTATTGAACAAAAAAAGGCATTATAATTCTAAAAGCTATGCTTTATAATGAAAGTGGAGTGGACTAATTCATGTTTTATTCTTACCTCTATGCCATCGTGTTTAGTTCATTTCATCAGAGTTTGTGTCCTGTGAATGTTGTTCTTGATCTACTTTTAGCGATGTGACAAGTTAAACCATTGTTGTAAAACCAGAATATGCTGCCCCCTTCAGTTGAAACTCATGTACATCAATGTGAGGACTTTTAAAATAAAGATCATTACAATTATTGGTATAATTTACCTAAACAATGCCCTCGTAAGGTCAGGGCTTAAGTTGGTTAAGATTTTATTTTAAGCTTTTATTATATCAGTATACTTGCAAAAAAAAAAGAGAAAACAACACAGCCTTAATTTGATGGAAAGAGTAAGAGTGTCTTAGAGAAGAAATAATTACTATTTAATTATCTTGTCATTAAATAAAATTACTGCCATTTGTATACATATAAACCTGTTATATTCAAAAGTTGAATATAAATGCTGGCTGCTGTAATGAAGTGTATGTGGTATTCAAGAGTTTGATCATGCTATAAACATACTTATCTTATTTATGAGTCAAGCTTCTCCTTAAACATTTGACAATTTGAAACTGACATAAAAAAGCAAGGCTTTTCATCATATCTAGGTTCTGACATACTCTCAATGTCACTCTTCAAAGTGGTTCATAAAACGTATTTTGGACAAATCCCATATAACACACTATGTAGCCTTCGATATTTATATATGCAACAATAATTATCTCTGTTTCTTGTTTTAACATCATGTAAAAACAAACAGTTTATTCGACTGAAAAATTGCCTTCATGTAGATCTGCTGATTTTTTAAAACTGCAATGTAAAGCACTGTTCCCTTTTCAAAAGAGAACATGGAGGCACCAATAAACTACTATTTTGACTATAATACAAACAATAGACAAATGCTATATTCTTAAAATAGACTAACGATGACTAACGATGGGTTGATGTTTAAGTTCATTTTGTACATGTATGTCCGGCTGTCAGAGTCACTGTCCTGCTGGTTTATCAACCTCCTCCACATCTCCTCAGGCTCTGGTCTGTGTCTGTGTGAGCCTTATCACAGGAACAGTTCACCCCAAACCAGACAGCCCTCTCTTCCAACAGCCTTTAATTGGATCATTAGGATCATATTTTCCATCATCATCATCATCATGCTCATCATCACAAACAGGCTTTCAGGCTGGACATTGCTCATACAGTCCTTGCTTTGTGTCCTTGCTTACAAACAGCTCTGGATGTCTTCTTGTGGTCTTTTGTGACAAACTCTCAAGGGTGTATTTAACTTCACATTGGACACTGTCTCAATTCAAACAACTTCAGCACAGCCCTTTTTATTACAGCTTGGGGATAAAAAGGGCTTAGACGGTCTAATTTCTCATCTATAAATTCAGATTTTAACGTGAAGATGGCTAGGTGTATTCCTTGCAGAAGCATTTAGCTTCTCCCACAGCACAATTGTATTTAAATAAATTGAAAAAAAAAAATAGAACATCATAATAATAAGAGTTGCTTCACTTCCAGCAATTTTCTAATCAAGCTGTCTGCCGAGTTCATCCTCTTTCAGCCGACTGACCCCCAGGACTTCAGTGATTCAGCTCTTTCTCCTGAATGTGCAGTAGAATCAGCCACATGATCTTCAGGTTCTCTGTGTGAAATAACACCACTGTCAACAGGATTTAAAGCTGTCTCTTGTCTCTGTAGACATAATTTCAGTAATGTCCAAGCAGGCTGAAACGTGCTCTAGTTTCAAGATGTTTCCACATTAAATGCACACAATGCATGAAGGCAAACACACAAGATCGAGGGTATTGAGAAACAGTTAATACCTCTCTTGAGTTATTGGAGTGAAATAAAAAAAAAATGTCTTTTGTCTTTTGTGTGTCTGTCATCTGTTTGAAGTTTGCACACAACAGGCCCTGGTCTTGCTCAGTCCTTAAGATGCATTAGTCGCTGTGAGGACATATGACTGGTTTCTCGATGACTTTCGCCTCCTGAAAGGAAAAACAGATGATTCCTCATTCACATTATCGAGTTATTCCTGTCTTGATTTATTTTTCTTGACACGTAATAGAAAATATAAACTGATTAAATGTTTCAGGATAATATTTTACAAATCTGACTGTAAATCTCCCACTTTTACAGTCATTTGATATCAGACATGATTGACAAATCTAACCATGTCAGTCCAATCAACGACCTGTGAAACATACTACTTTGAGTGGTGCATCGGGGTCCTTCAGTATCGCTTCTTGTTAGGTTGTGCATATAATGTCTTAACCACACATTTTACATATGCCAGGTTTACTGAAGCAGTGATTTTTATACCAATTTGATTTTTTTGAACAATCCAGCTACAGTCCCTTTCCTTTAATGCTTAAATTCTGTTTTTGTTATTGGTTGTTAGATGAGCAAAAAACTCACCTGCTCAGGAGAAAGGCCACTATGGCTATAACAACCAGCAGAACTCCGATGGTCACTCCGATCATCACCCATCTGCCTCCTGAAGACTCTGATGGGGTTAATGCTTTAGTGGACAGAAAAGAGATGAGATGAGACGACACTCTCATGAAGTATCTAAACTACAATGTGCATGGGACAATCTAGACCTGGGACCAACGCCGACCTAGTTATCTGTTTTAGTTACAGACCAAAAGTTAGCTCCTTTTCACACATGCACTCCTGATAGTTTCAAGAAAATTGAGTTCAGTCTGCCCCCTGAAACCTTCCTGAGCTGTTCATTCACATGTCTTTCACTGAAGGAGATTTCCCATGTTGGAAAGGAGAAGAAATGGGGTGGGATGGGTTCCAGGAGGCAAGAAATGATGTACAAAAACAACAAACGAGGAGCACTCTCGACAGTTAAACACAGTAAAAGGTGCACGACCCAGGTTTCTTTTATCTGGGTAAGGCAGCAACAACAACAGCAACGGACGTGTTTCGGCACTATAGGCCTTCATCAGCGTTCACTGAACTGATAAAAGAAGCCGACATTTACAGTTGACTTTTTGTCTCTTTCAAGAAATGATGTAGGTAAGATGCTGCTGAAGTGACGGGGTGTAATGTTTTCAATGGCAAAGCCACAGAGTTATAAGCTTTTGTGACAGTTTTCCTTTAATCACTGTTATGGTATTTAGTCACAGTATCAAGGAAAGAGTGGAAATTAAGATACTGGTGAGCAGAAAAGAGTATGAAGCAGCCTCTCTATGTGCACACATATCACACCGGTTTCACGACAGTTACATGATATGAACATCATCACCCGGTTCACTCAGTAGCGGTTAATATTACTGACTTTTATGCTGCATTCTTACTCAGCTCCCCCTTACTTCTTACAGAAATCTTACTTTGGCGCTGGCAGAAAAAAATGCAGGATGAAGTCTGAGTGAAAAATCCATACTGCAGTGCATGTGTGAAAGGGGCTTACAACTATTTTTTTGCAGGGTTATGAAGCAAACATGCAGACTCTTTATTGACGCACCTCTGGAGCTCATGAGTGTCACGCTGAAAGTCTGTGATCCATGTTTGTTATGTGCAACACAGCAGTGCAGTCCTGGCTCCTTGGTGCTGCTGAGCGTCGGGGCTCTCCCTGTCTGTATGGCTTGATAAAAGCTTTTGTCTGATGTAGGGAGACATGCTGCACCCGTGTACCAGGTGTACGTGTGGACAGGTGGGTTAGCATCACTGCTGCAGGTCAGAGTCACAGGATGGTCATCTTTCAGGTCAAAAGAGGGTGAGCCTGATACAGCCGTGTTTCGAGGAGAGTCTAGACAGGGCAGAGGTCAAAGGTCAGTAACACATGCTTCTATGAAAACATTTACTACACTATAAAAACCATATGGGGAAGTTTCTTTAGTCAAAGATGAATTTTTCAAGAAATAATCTAATTCTAAATGTTAAGTGTAGCAATCGCTTGGTGAGTTATTTTTCCTTCCTTCTTTTGTTTTCTCTGTTTCTGTTTCTTTTTTTTCTTTCTGTTAACTGTGTCTCATCTTTGTCTGTCTATTTTTCTTCCTTTATCAGTTGGTCTATGTGTCTTTTTTCTGTCCGTCTTTCTTTCTTCTGTCTTTTTTACTTTCTTCCTGTCTTTTGAATTTCCTGAATTTTGTTGTTGGGTTGTCTTAAGTCTGACAATCTGTCTTCTTTTCTTTCCAGCCATCCTTTTTGTCTTTCTTGTCCACAAAACGTGAAATATTGACATGAATACCAGTTCAGGATCAAACTCTACTCACACTGGACATCAATGTGCAGCATTGTTGAGTTTTGCACTTTATCTCCAGTCTGTATCTGACAGAAGTAGCTGCCTGAGGCCTCAGATGTGATGTCGCTGACGCTCCACACTTGGTCGGTGTGTTTCAGGCTGCTGCTCATGCTCTTGTACCATCTGAAATGAGTCTGTGGCGTGGCTGCAGGGCTGGAGCAGGCCAGACGTAAGGTCCTGCCTTCTGTGATGTCACTGGATGGACTTGCTGACACTGAGACTGCGCTAAAGGAGTCTGCAGAAATCAAGAGTTATAAGAGAAAAATAAACTTTAAATACACATGTGGATTCAAGTATTGCAAAATCAAGTTTTTTTATTGGAATCCAATACGTCCTTGATGTGCCCAAAAGTTTAGGTCTTTGCAAATCTATCACAAGATCGAATTCAGATTTGAGAGATAAATTCCTCTTTAATGCATTTGGAATTTTTTTTTCAATACTCTAATTACTCTAATTATTTCATTTATAGACACTAGGTCTGAAAATATTGTTATCAGCCTTTAAAACCTTATTTTGAGTAATGCATTTTCATAGTTGTGTAAAGTAAGAAACATGAAGAAATTGTGGACATTTGAAGGGATGAGTTGAACTCCTTCCTTTTAGTTTCTTTCAAAAACACTAAAAGGTCTCGTAGTGTGAACGTCCTTATCATGATTCAAAGATGTTTTTTGACCATCTAGCTGGTTTAATCTTAAACTAGTATTGTTTTTAATTAGCTGTGAAGCTGTCGTGTCATTTCTGTTCATACAGTTTTGATAGTTTGATTAATCAAAGTTACAGGTCGACATTTACAGACGCCATGGCAACGGCATGACAACAGGAAAACAACACGAGTATGACTCAAGACAGAAGTTTCTCAACGAGAAGTCTTTGATGCAAAATGACAACTGCACTTCCCCACACCAACACACACAGAAAAGAATTAGCTTTATGTCTGCACTAATACTTTGAATCATTCTAAAACCGCCTAATTTTAACAAAGTAAAGACATGTTACAGATTTTCTCGGACTTGCATAAAAAAATCTACATTATTAACTGATTATTATGTCTTACTGAGTTTACACTTTGTGCATTTGTGGTGAGTTTCAGTTCTGTAAATAACACATCCCTGCACAAAGGAAGTGGTTTAACGGAAATAGAATGATGCTCAAACTCACACTTTTTGACTGAATAAAAATAAAACCGATGTGAGTTTCGAAAGTACAGATACTGCAAGTTTTCTGTTTTATTCTCCAATCCATACTGCAGCAACACAAACAAGTACGAATCTT